AATTGGGTATACTATAGCCTACGTCACAGGTTGTGTTATTCCTACTAAATTTAACCCATGAACGGCATTTTCTGCGAGCCTAACTTCAAGCCACAAATAAACAAACGAAGTGTTTGATCGTTTAAATAGCTGCTCGCCAGATTTTATTGCATTATAAAAAAAAGTAATTGATATTCGATTTTTGATTAATAATTGATTTATATGGACAGTGGCATTTATGTGGATAGTGGCATAGAATTTAGCATTGCGTCATGGTCAATGTTATTCCTACTAAGTGAAAGTAGTTGTGTTTTTTTTTATATTATACCCAATTTCTATTTAACTAAAAATTACTGATTTTTTTCACTTTTTTTTATAACTTTACGTTACATTTTGTTAGAATATGTCTAGTTAATGTTAAGCATTATCTAGACATATCTTAACATTCATAGTGACATTCTTGAAGAAGAAAAAACTTAATTACGATTAAGAAAAAAATATAACCGTTTCCAAGTTGAACTGTTACAAGTCTCATTTATTTCTTCTTATTAAATCTCACAAACTGTATTCCTTAGGTTAAATATTTTTCCAAGTACAGATGATTATTTTTTAAATCCAGGTTATTGCCTGTTTCGTTAAGATAACGAAATGTTCTAACATAAAGCTACAACAATTATGTACTTTGAAACCAAAATGTTGCGTTTTTGTGGAAAATAGTGACGTTTAAGACAAACAATAATGAATGAGAATCAATTGCAGGTGTTGGCGAGCGGAATCTACTAAGGAAATAAAAAATTTTAATCATTAAAAATTTGGCTCACGAAAAATTTTTTATGAAGATAAAATTTTGATTTTCAAAAACATTTTTAATGAATTTTTGGATTGTAAAAATTTCAATTTTCTTTACATTTAGGAATTACATTGGAAATAATTACATTTACATTGGAAATAATGAATTTTTGACATAGAATAATATTTACTCACATTAACAAAATAATTTTAAAATTAAGGATTGAAATTTATATATACATACATATATATATCCTTGTCAAAACGTTTTCTTTTAATTGATTTACCTTTCTTTTTTATTCCCTCCATGAGGGCATCTAAGCGAGGAGAAAAGGACGCCACTGCTCTATTTAGATATCATTGTCAAGGTAATGAATGTTTTAATAATTGTCTAGGTTTTGAAACTTTTAATATTGCGAACTGGAAAAATCATGCTGACTGAAATGCTATTTTCTACTAAGAGATACAATAACAGCCTTTTTTATGCTCAACAATGGTTCAAAATTTTTTTTTTATTCCCTCCAGCGATCCACGGGCAAATAAGCGAGGATATAGGAACTCCACAGCTAATTTTAGATACTATGTTTAAAGTTAAGATTTCTTTAATAATTGTTTTGATTTTGAAACATTTAATATCGCGAATGAAATGCTGTTTTCTTCCAACACTTCACTTGTAATAGGTTTTTAAATGAAGGGCGATTCCACGAAAAGTGGTCCTGAGTGACTAAATTTTCAAAATTATCGTAAAATCAAAAATGACACAATTTCGGAATCTAGAAGATGTACATTTTTNCTATTTTTGGAGCAAGTAAAGGACAATTTTGTGAAAAATTTGGCTAAATGTTCTAAAAAATGTTCTTATATAGCACAGCTAGGGAGGGATGAATTGGAGAATTATAGTTATTTATGAAGCGTAATTTCATAAAATGATCATTTTATTGAAGTCAAGGTAGATCAGAGCAGTAAAAAATAACATACAAAATATATGCCCTAATGACCACTTAATACGCATATTTTTAGAATTTCATCAAAAATGAAAATAAAAAATATGCACATAAAGCACAAATTATTATTTAAGCACAAATTAATATTTAACCAATATGGCAAATACCGTTGTCCTTACTAAATCTGAAGAATTAGTAAGGAAAACAGTATTTGCCAGACAGACAGGAGTAATTCTAACAATCAACTTTTGTTTTTTTAAACAATCAATCTCATTTTCCTCAATAGGGATCCATAAAATAAAAACATTTTCTCCTCGCTTATATTAAATTGTGACCTTACTATGTTATCATTTTAAATTTAATTTTTATAAGTATAGGATGGGCAGTCATTATGGAACATTTAAAATAATACAATAAATAATAAAAATAGGCAAACAACAACATTAATTCAACAACAATTTTTATTTCTTTATGTAACTGCAACATCATCAAATGAAGAAAGCCAATTGATTACCAATAGAATTTTTTTTAAAAACAATTCAATAACTTTTTAGATGAAATTTTATGTACAAAAACGGGGGAATAAATTTATGCTACACCACTCAACTCATAACAAGCCAAATTTGTAATAAAAAGGACAAGAAAAAGAACCAAAAAAACTGAAATGTTTCGAACTTTTTGAGTAGGGATAGAATACATACTATTATAAGTACTTAATTAAATTAAAAGCCATTTAAGCAGGAAAGATTCACTCAGTTCACATATACAATCAACTGTTGCCATCATTGCATTGCTAATATCACTCAACCAGCAGATTTAAAACTGAAATACCATCTTCCCCATAACAACATAATATTGCCATGAATTACATTTTGCAGTGATTGTGAATGACCTCGTAATTCTGCCACAAGTTCAAAATCCTGATCGACTGCATAAATGCTTACTAAACGTTAAAAATGCTAGTCTGGCATGTATGCTTGCAACATCCGTATAAAACATTAATCTTTTGAACTTGCAACAGTATTTTAAATGGAATCAACGTTAAAAAAAGTTATAATACAATATACATATGCACATAAAAACATGTAAAAATCACATTTTGTGATGAAATGGACAAATAATGTTTATATTTACAAATACAATGTCGATGCGATGGACACTCGTGATTTTTTTTCTTCTTTATATGGATATTTTGTTCCGAATAAGCAAAGTGATTTTTCACATTAGACCTATTCTTTCAATTATGATAAAAATTAACATGATTGTGCTAAAAAATAATTTTTTTTATGGTAAACATGATTTCAAAATAAATTAATTTAATTTTTCCATGTTAGGTAAATCTATGTTACGTTATAATTTTTGCGAAAACTTATATTTGTTTGAAACATAAATATTAAGTATTATGGTATTAAGTATCGTTTTGAAAAAAAATTTTGATTTCAAATTCAGTAGAACCTTAATTACTTAAGCACCAAATATACGAACCAATGTCGATTCCTTCCAGCTATCTATTAAACTTTTTCAACAGATAGCGGCAAATACTTAACTCACTAACATAAGTAGTTACAAAATTGAAAATAAAAATGCAAAAATTAAAATTGCATGAATGTAAAAAAATACTTTTTATGAAATTTTAATTTTTTACACCTTTACTCAAAAAATATGTATCTTCATGTGCAAAGTCACATGGCTTTTTATATTTTATTAATTTCTTTATTCAGATAAACCAAGGATCACTTATGGCCTAAGTATTTGAAATAATTACGAATTTTTGAAGGATTTCTAAATATGATCTAAGTATTACAGTACCCAATATTCATTAAAATGACTTTGTTCGCAATGTAATTTTAAGGGGGGGGGGAAAGCCTGTTTCCCAAACTAAGAACTCAACATTTTAAGTCATCTAAAATTTAAATAAATATTGAATTTCTTTTACCCTAATTTAGTCCTTTTCAAAAAAAAAAGAAGTCAAGTTTAAAATTAGATTCGTCTTAGGTTTTAAAAAGCGGCAATAAGTTTAAATCTCTGATTACTACAAATTTGTCAAAATAAACTTCAGACTTTAGTGAAGTCATAACTACCTTAATTCTTGAAACATCTTCGAAAATTGTAAGTTTATTACCTTAAATTTTATTACGTTTTAATGATCTAATTCGATATTTTATCTATATTAAAAAAAATTTACAAATATTTCGCCTTTAACTACATTAGTTTTATTTAAATAAAGAAAAGAGGGATTTTTTCTAAAACTAGTTTTAATATTGCAATAAGTAAAATTTTAATAAAATTAATGTTTTATCGATCTAATTAAAAAATTTCAATATTAATAAAAATTGACAAATATTTTGCCTTAAACTGCATTAGTTTTATTGAAATAAAGAAAACAGCAATTTTTTCAAACTAGTTTTAATATTGCAAGCAGATGATTTCATAATCCTGAGATTTTTTTACTAGTTTCGGCTACTGTAATACATAATTGTAGAAAATTTAAAATCATGTTTCACATAATACTTAATGAGAATTTGTGTGTAATCTAAGATATGTGACAGTTATAATTTGTAGGGAAAAATATATATATATATATATTTTTTTTTTTGCATTATTAGCCAAAAGAATTATTATGAGAAAAAATGAGAAGAAAAAAATCAGTTGAAACCAAAATTAATTAATATCACAAACAGGCACCATATTCATGTACCATAGACATTAAAAACCCAGAACAGTCTAATAATAGCATACATAGACAAAATAGCTTCATGCCAAACTAAATTATTCGCCTTGATATATACAAACCAGCACCTTCACTGTCGTTTCCCTTCAAAATGGCTTTTGCTATATATATAAAAATAGGGTTTCTACATGGCGAAATACATCCAAATTTTGTACATTTATAAGCAATATTTACACTGTACAAAATAATTCAGAATGCGTATGCACAGAACTACAATTAATATTTTTTTTCGTAAATTTTTTTTTTATGTTTTTTTTTCCAACTATAATATTTTCAAGATTTTTTTTTCTTATTTATTACCTACATAAGCTTTAAGCGTGCTGATAGATTTAATTTGAAAATCAACTACACGAGTACAAATGATATACTTCATTTTTTTTAAATCATCAGTGGTTCTTTAATAGCTGACAAAATGAAGTTTTGCACATTTTATGGTTTCATTAAGATTGTTATGCAAGTGAAAAATTTTGAAAACATGGCTTGAAGTGATAATAAAGAAAAACAAATTTATAGGATGATAAAATATTATTTGAACACTGCATTTCATATTAGTACCTAAATGTTTGTTAGGAAATGAAAGAATTAAATGAAATGTTGAAAATATTTTTGAATGATAAATAAAAGGTTTTAAATGTTAAATCAATTTTATGCATTAATTATTTTCATTACATTAGAGAAAAGCATATATTTTCTTTAGATTCCAAAACCTTATTTCCTTTTTAAATTATAGCAATTTCATAAAATAAACTTTTTTTTCCAAATTTTAAAATAAGAAAATATTGAATACATGTTAAGAATTTTTAATTTATTGTAATAGTATTTAAATTTAATTTTATACATTTGAATTTCTCTATGAATGCTAAGGCATGAAGGACACATATAAAATAAATCTTAAATATAAGCGATCTGAAAACAACAATCAAAGTTATAATTGAACTAAACAAATAAGCGTTGGCTAAAAAACGAAGATTTGAACAACACATTGATTTTTAAATATTTTCTACGATAAACAACTCTTTTAGCAAAGATTTTTCTTATTTTTTATTTTAGTTTACATAAAAGTTTAACATTTATTCATCACAAATCAAATATTTGTATTAAAGTAGGTATTAAGTATTCTAATTGGCTTTTAATTTGGTGAACGCAGTACAGTTTCTACATATTGAAAACCATTATAGATTAGATGAGTATCTAAAAAAAATTCAACAGATAAAATAAAAATTTTGCAGCCGTTAATGATAAGTTATAAATGTTGTCCAAGTTGCTTTTTATCATCCTGTAAACTTGTCACAGTGAAGTAAAAGTTTGAAATCAGGTCAGCTCCATTGGATTACCTATGAAAATGACTTGCTTTCAATATCACCCATTCAATTATGACTCACTGTAATTTTTAGCCTGTTTATGTAAGCAAACATTTCAAATTTTCAATCGAACATCAATGAATTGCACATCATGAAGACAGCCACAAAAATTCTGAAGTGCAAAACGTTATTCAAATGCAATATCACAGAGAACCACTGATATACATAAACTGGGTAAAAACATCAAATGGAAAACGCCAAAACATAAAAGTCGAGACGATTTTAAAATATGACTAAATTTTTTTTTATAACAAATAAAAACAAGATTGTACAACAACAAATGAAACATTACTGCTGGCAAATAGTAATTAAGCAGGTACTATTTGTCACATAACAATTAAATACTGTGTACACACTACACAACTGCGGTAGAGTTCAACACAATGAGTTCACTAAATATGAGCACAATGTAACAATTGAATTTCATGGTGTACTTTCATCCCTGTATGTTAAAAGGTTTAAAGCACTTTGACTAACTACACATGCAGATTGCACAGATCGCCAAGGAAGTCAAGAGAGTAAAAAACAGACACTTATGGCACAAACTCTCTAAAATTCATACAAATTTTAGAGTCTAAAATTCGTTTTTTAAGTTACATTTTAAAATTTAGTCATTAACAGTTAAGTAGTGAAAGAGAACAATTTCCCGCAGTTATGATTATTGTGAGATATCTCTAGTATGGCACTTATGTTTTAGCGTGAAAAGCAAGTTTTTTTTTCTTCATTAACCACAATTAAAATATTTGGCAACAGGAAGAGCAACAGAAGTGAGAAAATGGCACATTTAACTGCACTAAGCTGAATTTTTGAAGAAGTGGGAAGAAAAATTCAAAGCAACTAAACAAAAATTACAAGGATTTTAGAACAGTAGGAACAACAATGTAATACCGTTAGTTTTAACATTAAGGAGGCAAAAGACTAGATTTCAAACTTCAAAAGCCAAATTTTTTGATACAAAAAAAAAAAGAAAAAAAAAGACCGCACTCAATAAAGTGCGAATAAACTAGTTTGCAAGAGGATAAAGTAAATCACAGCGAAAAAGAAATATCTGATTCAGTCAAGATAAAAAAATACATTCGTTTTTTGGACACACATGGATAAATTTATGTGCGCTCAATCCTTGGTCCACTTATCAGATAAAATAGGGTGACTCTCCTTGTTTACTTAGAAAATAAAACTGCACTTAGTAACACATGAACTACAAATGAAAAGGCTTTAGTGAAAAAGAAGTACACTTCATATTAACTATCTGATAAAATATCTCATAATATGACTGAATATAGCTTATCCGATAATACGACTAAATGTGTTTAATGAGATATGAGTAAATATCTAATATGATGATGATATACATATGTGATAGTACATTTTCTTAACGTTATACAATATATGATATGAATTTATCATAAGAAATGTGCATAGTTTTGTGGAAGGCTAAGACATTGACAGACAAAGTGGCTGCATTTGTTAACTTTATAGTAGAAACCCAACAAATTTTGTATTCAATGCCCGTCAATGCGATACAAGTTTGTTTACTGTTTACAACTAAGTCGTATTGAACAAGTAAAATATACGGCAATTCTTATTGTACTATGGGTATTTAATAGTTTAAATTTGCTCAGCCGACAAGATGATAGCAAATGTAAAAACATTAAAAATTCGCTAGACATTATCAAACAGGGATTCTATAAAACATGAAAAAGACCCTAAATGGATCCAACAGACACAGCAATCCCGAGAAAATGCTAATATTTATTGCTAATGGGGAAAAACTAAAAACAATGTAGGGATAAAAGTACACCATTCTTTTCTTAAACTGGAAAATGATGTTGACTTAAAATTAAATATAAAGCTACAGTGAAACAGCTCTATTAAAATTATTTAATTTTATAACAAGAAGAGTAGTAATATCCCACTTTTTCTTAGGTGACAAATATGTTGTTAAAATTGCATAAGCACTGATGCATAATAACTTTTATTAACAATAAATTTGCTACATTTTTCTGTCGTTAATTGTATAGGATACACACCAACTTAAAACAACACTCCTGAGGAAGATTACACATTGTACCAGAATACTGAGATAAATAAGTTGTCTTTTAAGAACTATTGAAGACAAATATCTACTAAAACCATTTATTTTCATTACAATATCGTTATTGTGAAAGCACAATGTGATTTGTTTTTAAAAATTTATATTAAGGTTCTTTTAATTATAATTTCAAACATTATGAGCGATATTTCATTCAGTATGCAGGCGAATTTTTTATGTTCGTGTGCTGAATAATTTCTATATTTTGCATTTCTCAAACATAAAAGTATAAAGTAAGGCACTGCCTTTTTTCAAAGAGCTTTTAATATAAGTTCGAAAATAATCCAAATAGTATACAGGCTATAAAACAAATCTTTTAAAAATAAATTCTTTGTATCACTTTTATTTTTATATTTTCACTTGGAAAAACATTTTAAAGAGGAAAATCAATACTGATGGGACCCTTTACAGAACCACCAAGCATATTTGTCACCTTTCAAATGCTTTGCAAAATATGATACAAAATATTTCCCCCTTTTTAAAAAGAGTAGAGAGGGAAATATTTTTTTCTCACATATAACAGCATTAATTTATCAATGTGTAATATACAACGAGCAATCAAGTTAAGCACTCTATGAGTCAGATTTAATTTCAGATAAAGTAAAGCTGACTCAAACATTGTCGGTTTTGCGAAGGAGCAAAAAATTTTAAGGGGCTCCCCAAGAACGTAATCCAGCAGCAACAGCTATGAAATGAATTCTATTAAGAGTAAGCAGTGTCCACTTTGTACATATTGCTGCATCCACTTTGTGGCATATTGTTCTATGATACTGTTGTGCTACGTGCATATGCGGCTACGAAAAAGTATAAACTTTGATAACTCCAGTGCTGAAAATAAGGGAAGCAAAATCTCAGGTACTTTATAAAAGCAATATCTAATGCACTCTCAACTTCAGAGAATTGGGAAGCCCCATGTTCACAACAATAGCAATATAACTGCCAAATCAAAGTTGAAAGATAACAACAATAAAATAACTACTATCGTGCAGTGGAAATGTACAATGCATGTAAGACATTGCACAGGAGCAACAACTAACAAATGAAAAGTGATTAAAGCATAAGCGTTTAAAAAGTTCATCAGAGAAAGCTCACGGTTCCAGTGTCGTACCGGATGGTACACCGGGCTCAAGTAGTAGAGTTCCCAGGAATGGATCGTAGGTTCCAGCTAGGAAGTAAGTATCGTTGTTGTCAAATAACGAGTTTTCAGGATGCTTCTTGTCTTGATATTCACTCCACGAGAGAACTTCACATTTGTGCGATATTGTTTGGACATCATTTTCATCAAAATGAGGGGATTGGAACAGCGCTCCCTGTTAGAAATTTATAAATTATTAGTATCATTTAAGTTTAAAATTTAAATGCACTGCATGCAGTTTAACAGAAACATATAACTGAAAGACTTTTGTAAGTGTTTATTTAAAGATAAAACCCGCCATTCTTATTTCATACAGAAATTTATACATCTGATCAAAGCTAACAGCATAAATACAATACTGGGTGCAATTTTCAAAAGAACTTTAAAACTCTTACGCTGACTCGTAGGCTCCCCGCCTTCACATATTTGTACCTGTGTTTTGGAATGTTTAAAAACGTTTTTAGCACTAGATGGAATTTTATGTTCATAGAATTTTAGAAAAATGTAGATTTTAGCATAAACATTTATTTAAACAAGACACACACACAAACTTAAAATATATACAGCATATACTTTACTGTACATTTTTAGAGAATGTGTTCATATTTTAGTGATATCAAGGCTTAACAGCAAAAAATAATTCTCTTGCTTATTATATACAACAACAACATGCTGATTTTAAAGAATTGTCTAAAGCATGTGATATGGAAACATTTCTTCCCCTTCATGTTTATTAATCAAAAACTACATGTCAGTCATATAGTAGAAAGACAAATCTACATTTATCTTAAATCCTAAGGGAATACAATGCCACCTTGTGCCAAAAATTATAGTTTTTAAAACCTTCCACAACAGTGGTGCAAAAATGTGACGACCAGGAGGGAATCACTTTGTCAAGGAATCACTCTGACACGCTGGCATGTCAAATAAGTGATGAGAGCATTTCATGTTGGCAGAAAGGGTAAAAAAAGTTGTTAAATTAATAAATCTAGAAAAAACAGATACATTTGAGGAGTAGGTTAGTGGAAAACGGTGCAGCATATGGTGATAAATCCTATCGAATGAATTTGTTCCATACCTGACCGTAAGCGCTATTTTAGTAGCGTCCTCATGTGGCGAGTATTGTAAGAGTTCAGTGTTTCATTATAAAATGTGACGATTAGGACTGGGCTATAAATCGATATATCGCGACATATCGATTTAACGCCTATATCGGCAAACCGATACAGCAACTTTCATTTCAAGCGATGCATCAGAAATCTGATTTAAGCCGTCGAGTGAAGAAGACGATATAACGATATAGCGATACACGCAAGGACTTTCTCTTACGTTCCGATGCCAACTCGCGCTGTGGAAGACGATATTGTTTCGTTATGTTGAGACGGCCTTGACTGATGAGCGGTAGAATCAGAATCACTTTTGAGACCTTATATCGTTATATCACATGTTCGTTTTCGCACCTTCGCGATTTGAAATCGTTTCTTGTAGATTATTTTCAATGGGATTAACTTCGTGATCGCCGTCGTAACCTTGTTCTGAACGCAATCTATTATTGAAAAGAATTTATAAAGAAAAGTTTCTTCATTAATTAGGTAAGTTTTTTATTTATTTTCTGACAAAACTTTTTTTATATTTTTAAATGTGAAAATTATCGGAAATCTAATTTAAGGCACCCATAAGGAATTAAATTACAAAGTAAATAAATTTGTTAGGTTATTTTTTTACTTTCTTTTAATTTATTAAAAACCTTTCGGATAAAACTTCTAATAATTTAATGGGCTTCTATTACTGATTTTAAATTTATAAATCTTGAGTTGTTTTTATTTTTAGAAATAAAGTTAAAACAAAACTTATTTTTTGGACATAAGTCAATAAACTTTATTTGTTCAAAAGAATTTGAAAAGTTTGCGAATTTTATTCATTTCTTTTTTTTTTTTTTTCAATTACTACTTCGTTTTATTAGAGAGTAAAATCATTATTTTTTTTTAATTTTCGTTTTATATTATTAGTTAATTAGCTAAATATATTACCGAATATCACAATTCTTTTGTTTTTATTTTTAAGAATTTAATTAAGAAACTTTGCCTTACTTTGTTTTTCGTTCATAATTCGGTCATTATTTAATTTAATTTAATTATTTATATGAAATAATAATAAAAATAGTGTTTAAGAAGCATTTTTTTTCTAAAATTTATTTAGCTCTTTGTTTTAAGCATACAAATAATTTTTTAACGAACTTATTTTTTAAATTTTGTTCCTATGCTGTTAGGTAAATATATTGATAAATTTCACTTTTATTTATTTTTTTATTTTTAAACTAAGAAATCTTTTGTTATTTGCGTGATCATTTTTAGAAAATATAACAAAACTTGTGTTTACTTCTTCATTAAGAATTTGAACATTACGATCGAACTTAATAATTCTGTAATTATTTACGCATAATAGTACAAGCAAATATTGATTTGTTAAAAAAAGTTTCTTTTTTTAAAAAAAAAAAAATATTTTTAACACTTTGTTTTAAGTGTATAATGAATTTCTTAACAAACTTTTTTTTTAATTTTTTAAATTTTCTTTCAATAATTTCAGCTAGATATCTTTATAAAATTCCCTTTTTATTTTTAAACTGAGAAATCTTTCAGAGAACGAAAATTTTAAGAAATTATTACAAATCTTATGTTTACTTTTTAGTTTAAAATTCGAACATTTTTAATTTTAAACTTCGGCTTTTAGTCAATCTAACTTTTATTTTAATTAAAATATATTTTGAAATTTTAAAATCAGCTTTTGTTTAATAACAATATTTTTTTTCATTAAGGGTGTTTTAGGGGTTAACTTAAATTAAGACTGCTTATACCTTATAAACGATAAAGAAGTGCAAATATTTCATTCTGTATCTACACACATTTTTTCAATAAATATTTTAAGTAAGATTTGTACATCTTAGTCAATTTATTTAATATCTTTCTTTAGCAAAACATATATATTTTCAAATTTATAAATTGATTTAAATCAATATGCGTATGAAGTCTTGATAGAAATCTGACTTTCTGTGCCTTAAAGTAAATGAAATTCAAAAATACTATATCGCGATACATCGCTATATCGCGATGCAAAACTGACGATATATCACGATATATAATTTCTAATATCGCCCAGTCCTAGTGACGATAGATCGCATTGTGTGAGAAGAGAATATTGAGTAAGCATGAGAATTAAAAATAAAAGTTAATACAGTCTGCTGATTTGTGTAAACTTCATTTATTGAGGAAGAACAGAATTAAAGTTAAATTTGAAATGAATAGATTGATTGACCTAGCAATTTTTTGAGTAAATAAATGCTATAAAATATTCTAAATACAATTATTATGAAAAATATTATGATTTTCCTTTGTAACATAACACAATTTTAAAAGTTTTTGAAGTTTAACTGTATTACGTAAAACCATGTGCTTTGCCTCCCCTCCCTTTACTGTGCTTACCATTTTTCAGTCTCTTATTCGTGACATAAGATTAAAACACAATGCCATTAGAATCTAAAATGTTTTAACTTATTTGCTAAATTTTCGCCTTTTTCAATAAAATAATTATGTGTGCAATAGCTGTCAATTTCAAGCAAAAATTCCCAGCTGTACTTTTTTCAAATGACTTACTTTAAGGTGACTTAATTTCTTCCCACTCTTTGTTTCTTCAGGATGATAGAACCATTTCACTTTCACATCCATTTTACCTCCCCATGATTCCCACATGGTTTCAATTCTGCCTATATATGGTAGATGTGGTCGGCCAGTAGATAAGAAAACAGCACAATCTCCCACCTAATAATAGGTTAAAAAATAAAATAAATATATGTCATTATAAAACATGCATCAACTAAAATTTGAATGTTAAATTTTTGGTCTTTACAGGATACACACTTTTTTAAGGAGTTTTTGTAAGGAATCGATCATTCCAGCGGAAAATATGCAACCTACCAAATTATGTAATTTACACAGTTGTACAATGTGAACAATTACCAAATATATAATTTAAAAGTAGCATATTTGTTAGTTATATGATATAGATTTTAGGTGAATAATATAAATTAATTACATCAAAATATTGTAAAATATGTTTAATAAATTGCTCTAGAATAGGAAATACTACTAAACATTAATAGTTAAAAAATTTCTAGAATAAGTAATATAGTTTCTAGCTATTTATGTAATATGTTTTAATATATAATTTTAAAAACAATTGGAAAATGCTATGGAATTAAGATGAATCCGTTGAGCTATTAGACTAAATTGGGTGGATAATGAAGACTATGTGAAAATAGAAATGATATTTGGTTACAAAAAAGGAGAATAGAATTAAGAAAATTTGATAAATCAAAAATCAGCTGCAGGAGTCTTAATACAGAACTAATTCTGCTCTAGTAGTTATATCTGTTGTTCATGGAAAACTCTTTTAGAGATAAAATTGAAGAACTTTTCAAAAATGTAACATTACTAAAGAAATAATGAAAGATTTATCTGCAATTTATTTTGTAAAAATAAATGGAAACAATAATTTTAAACACCAATAATTTTTTATGAATTAGTCATACAATTAATTTAAAGATATATCTTTACCTACATACTATATCATTTATAAAAACATTACATACAAAAACATTTAACTATAAGTAGATATTTCCAATAATACCATAATCATAAATTTAAGTTTGAGTATTTATAATTACAAAATTAACGTTATTAAATTTAACCATTTATTAGTTTAAAGATATACCTTCATAAATATAAAATACAACACAAAGATTTAATTAATAAGTTCCACAAACACCACTATAGTTAACAATAAAATTATTAAACTTAAAAAGAAAAATAATTTAATGAACCATTTACCCTTATAGTTTCTTTACCACGTTGTATAGCCTTATAAAATTCCTTTTTAGCTTTTCCTTTAGCCCCGGGACGCCGGAAGCTTTTTCCCGACCATCTCCACAGTTGACGAACGGGCAAAAAGGCTGAAGAAAAGGTTTCCATAATAAATAATAAAATCAATTTCAAGAACTTCGGAAAAATCCTAGTTTTTTTTAAATTTCTGGCAAACATTGAAACAATATTTAATTTATCTTCATCTTCCAGATATATTTGGCAGAAAAACAGAGCAAAACTATGCATGCGAAAAGGTGCAGAATAGAAAGAATTTGCCAGAGCATCTAGTAGAAGGCTTTGTTAGAATGTGAACAATTATTATAATTAAATTATTCAACTTTTAAAGAGTGCGAGACAAAGGCTATGCCATAGACAAAAGTACTTCTAGCTAGTAGAGCAGTTTGAAAAGGAAAATTGGTTATTTATTGTAGTATAATTAAAAGTTAGATATCTCTAATTTTCACTAAAATGTTCTACTATATAATAAAGCCCAACAAATCTTTGCATGGGCAATCAAAGTATACAATAGTGGTGTATATTTATATAAATATAAGAAATTTATAGTAAGCTCAGATATTAAGAATTGATATTTTTAGTTAACCCTTTGATGCAGATGGGACAATAGCATCCCTTTCATATATACTGGCGTTCTATTTACAAGCCAACATATATTTTGGTTTTTCTTAATTTTAAAAAATCTGTTAAGATTATCGGAATTATATTTCTACCAAAGTATAAATCCAAAAGAAGTAGTTAGAAATCTTTTTTTAATTCATATTTAAAAAAAATTATTAATAGTTTTATAATTAATGAAATTTCAATGATGAATAACTGTTTCTCGTATATCTAAATAAGTGCAAATTAGATAAATCGTTCAGAAGTGAGTCATGTTTGGAAGATTTTATTTTAAACGCAGAAAAAGACACCAGTGTTTCATTATGTAATTTTTAACAATAAATTATTAAAATGTTAAATATAATATTTTTGATTTATTTTGAACTAAGTTAATATGAAATAATGAAAAAGTATGAAAAATATGTTTTAATAAAAATTCTGCGTCAAAGGGTTATATAAGTAATAAATATATTACATATGCTACAATCAAATAATTCCATCAGTTTCACTAGAATATTATGGTTCTAGAGTTTAGCATAGCAATTCAAATTTACTTCTCATTTATTTTAAAACATACACATATATATATACAATAAAATCTCAAATTCACAAATTTTTTGATATCACAAAAATTAATTCCCTGAGCTTTTGCTATTCCCATAATATAAAAATACATTTTTCATTAACCTTTGATTTAATTAAGCAATTTTACTGATAAAGACATATTTATTTATATTTTTGATTATGCCTGGAAATTATAAAACTTCAATTTCATATTATCTCCAATAATTTAACTTTTATTTCATCACATTGACATTATTACAATAGCAATACTCTAGTGTTCTTGATGTTGTGTATTAAAAGTCAAGGAGTCCTATGCTACATACACGAGTGAAGGAGGTTCTTTGCAGAATAATGTCAATGAACAAAGCCTTAACTTTTCTTTGAGAAAACAAGAAAGAGGCAGTGTTGAAAAAGTCAGCAATAATTGCAGTGTAATAATTTATAGAGTCCTGTCAGTAAATATTTTAAAATTATGTTAAATCTAGATAACTATTTCAAATGTATATAAATTACTACCTAATAATAATTTAACATATTTTTCTATTTTTGTAGTAAATACATGATGAGTATGAAAAATGGATAGAGGTTTGAGTACCGATAGCATATTTGACTGCAAATAGCACATACAAAAGAACGCAACAGTAAAACTCACATTTCCCCCTTAATTGGGAATATGGAAGAGTGTAAACTGCTATGCTAAAAAACATTTAGTTAAGAATAATGATCAAAGAGTAGAATGTGAACTTTGAAAAGTAAATGTTGAAATCAAATCTCAGAAGCATTACATTGAAACAATGCATATAAGTAAACACAATTTTTTTTTTTTTTTAACTACGATTACTATTATCAAACAATATGTATAAAAAAATTATTTACAAAAAGTTTCAATATATTTTCGAAATTTTATTTCAACTTCTGTCTTATTGTTAATAAATTTTTTATTGTAAGTCTCCAAAATCTGTTCCTAATATTAAAAAAATTAACTTAATTATCGATTAAAAAGTAATTATCATGTATTAACTCATTATCATGTAAAAGTATTAACTCATACATTATCATGAAAAACATTTTATTAAAAACTATGAAATAAGACTAAAAGGCAGTTACTTACCAGCTATTTTACTTTTTTCAACAGATGGAACACGCTCTTTCCTTTTAGCAGGTTTAGTAGGAGAAGTTTGAAGCTGAAACAAAGAGGGTTTATATGTTAACAAGCATTAAAAACATCTATTAAATTCAGGAATTAAAAAATATTGGTTCACCCACTATATTTGATAATTTTTTTACAAATTGTATTCGTATATAGTTTGTAACATGTAGACTTCCATTGATGTTTGAAAGCAGTCAGGTAGTGCAATTAAAAGATTGTCACTCATACTGCAGGTGAATAGGTAGGGTGATGAGCCTAGTAGCAAAACAGTGATCACTGCAGATTATTTTTCATCTTTTCCTTTCATTTTTAAAAAACAAGCAAGTAAACAGGGAAAAATTGCTGAGACAACCTTTTAAAGCATTTCTAAACTTGTTTGAAATGAAATTTCAAAGGAAATGTACAGGGATTTATTTCATCATTTTTCTAAAATCCTAACCCAATTTCATCAGGTAATAAACTGGATTTAATTTTCTTTTCAATTAAATCACTAGCTGGGAAAGTGGGAACTGATAACCTTTTTGATTGTTGGAAGAAACTGGAGTGATTATTAGAAACAGAACCAAATTTCATCAGGTTTATCCCAATATAAATATATGGCATGCTTATAAAATAACTAATGGCTTACCTTTGATTTCTTAAGTTTCTTTTTAGCAGGTTCCAAACTATCGTCATCAGAAGAACAAGACGACGATTTCGCCTTGTTAGCTATCGCTGAGTTCTCCTCCTGATTAGTGTGAGGAGATGGTGATTTCTTAATTTTCATAGTCAGTAATTCAGTCGTTGAGTTTTCCAAAATGAAAGTATTGTTCGAGTCATAATCTCTGGGAGATGAGTTACAAGAGTCATCACTGGTTGAGTTTGGTGATATCACAGTTCCATCTTGACCATGCTTATGCTTTTTGTGATGATGATGCTTATGATGATGTTTATGGTGGTGCTTATGGTGATCCTCCTTATGTTTTTTATGTTTCTTTGGTTTGTGATCTGGTGGTGTGGATTTGTCAACATTCTCTAGCTTTTCCTCAGAAGGCTTAGAGAGTGAATCAGTTTTATTCTTTTTAGAATCTTCACAGTCTTTTTTTGCCACACTCGTTTGGTTTTTGTTATCACTACGACTCGCACTTGAAGACTTAGAAGAACTCCTGGATCTTACAGCAGAAGGGGATTTGCTTTTAGTTTTCTCCTTATTCTTAATATCAGATGCTAGAGCGGAAGAAAAAAACATTTAATTCATTAAACAAGCAACTGATTTATATAATTATTATGCATTTGATAAAAAACAAAATTTTAACTTCACTATTCAAATTATAGAATTAAAATGCAGAAAATTGACTGTTATGTCTTGCCCTTAATATATAACTTGATTAAGTGGGTTTATAGGTAGGAAAGCAACCATGTTGTATCCAAATAAAATAGGATATACTTCATGCTACTTGTGAATAAATCACTAATAAAGGTTCAAAAATGGACATACTATAGCTTTAGTTCTCTAAACAAGAACCTTCCTCAGTATTGAAACACGACTTTTTCTCATTTTGTGTTTCGACACCAAGAAAGATTTCTGTTTATAACTGAAACAATAATACCTACTTCTGCATCTTTATTTGGGCCTTATTCAGGTTCTTTCGCTTTCTTCAACCAGTTTGCATCCAAGATCAAGTCCAAAGTTATGTTGATATTTAGATGCAAAAATGCATAGCAACAGTTTTTCTTAAATTACACACTTTTTTATACATTTAACATTGACGAAAACGAACTTGAATGAAATAAAAGTATACAAACTATCCTGAATTGAATTAGGAGTAGTCAACAGAGTATAAAAGAATTTAAGCATAAAAACTGATGTATTCTGACGTCTCCACCTGATACTGTTACTTTTATCATCTCAAAATTTAAGAAATCAATATTTAAAGTGATATTAGCAAACTATTAATCCACAAAATGAAAAACTAAATTTAAAAAACAATATACTTCCTAAGATTCTAATTACAGTAGGGAATGGATTATCCGGAACGATCGGGACCATCGCTATTCCGGATTACTGAATTTTCCGGTTTTCTGAATTGCTACAAAAAGCCGTTTTTTTATTGTTAAACCCAACTGAAAAAAAAAATTTGAAAATAATCTTAAAAAGAAGAAAAAAAGATGAAGTAATACCTTAATGATTATTTACAAAATGATGGTAAGGTAAACATCTTTCAAAAAAGAAAGAAAAATCCTAAAATCTTATGAGGGAAAAAAAATTTATTTTTTTGAAAATGGCGGGAAAATGTATAGAATTTTGTTCCGGTTTTTTGGTTTTCCGAATTCCGGATAACGCGTTCTGTACTGTATATTCCATTCATATAATATTATTTATAACTTAGTTTTATGCTATAATCATTATTAACCAGAAGGAAACACCAACTCTGACCGTGTCAAAAAAAAAAAAAAAAAAAAAAAAAAAAAAAAAAAAAAAAAAANAAAAAAAAAAAAAATAATAAATAAATAAAAAAAATTTCACAGAAAAAACTTAATTTTCTTTCACGTCCAGTCACAGTATTATTGCACTTGAAATTTCAGATCCATTTTCATAATCATTAATATAAGGTCATTTAAAAAATAAACTTTATGGATGTATATTTAGAAGTATACGAACTTTCAGAAAGAATATCTCAATCTGGCAAAGAAAGAAGAGAAGGCTAAGAATACTTAATTCATTCAAGGAAAGCATTTAGGAAATGACCAAAAAATAATAATAATGGTAATTTTATTGTTTTTGTAACTTATCTGATTCATTTATTCAATTTTATTTTAACACATAGTTGCAAAAAATGAAAATCAATTTGATGTCTTAGAATATATCCAAAATGATGAAGTACCACTTACATTTTTTGTTCGATTTGTCACTGGTTTTCATCTTTTTATGCTCATTCTTTTCCTTATCATTGATTTGAGAACTGGAATCATTCCCATTCTTTCCATCATTAGGACCAGAACTATTTTGACTTTGGGCACGAGATCTGCGTTTTCCCAGAATCATGAATGGATTAGGTTCCATCGCTACAAAAAAAGGGAAATCATTAACACTTATAAAACAAAAGCTATTGAAAAAAAAGTTGGTTACTTGATATTTGATTGAAAAACAATGTTAAATAACGGTTATTCCTATCATACAATAATTATTTTAAGGATATGATTAGCATATAATTTAATACCAAATTAGTAGAATCCTGAGAGAAAACACGAGGACATTATTTGAATAGAGGTCCAACAACACTTTCACTACATTTCTACTTTATTTTAAAACTAGTACACTTTCAGAGAATTTCTGCTGTCAAACAAAGAGCAACAAATGGAAAATATTAAATAAGTTAAAATTTAAATTATGCAGACAGTAAAAGTGGTTGAATAAAATCTTTGAAAACAATTTTTGTTCATATTTCAATTTTGTCCAGGAATTAATTCTGCATTTTTTTTCAATTTTAAAATTAGCTCAAAAGAGATGCCAAATTTGCATTGTATTAGAATGTATAGAAAAAGCATTATTTACGAAATTGGCAAATTAAACTCCGAAATAATATGGGTAACAAGAATTACTGCAATACAGATTGTGGTGATCACTAAAAAATAAGATTGGCAATAACAATGAGCACAAACTTAACAAGACGCTCGTGCAATATTTCAGTTGGAATGGTTTGACAAGCAGAAGAAAATATGTTTTTTTTTACAGTCAGCAGCTCTATCTTTTGGCATACTTTGTAATTAATCATGAGGAAATTTTTTTTAAATTTCATTAGGCTGAAAGCAGTAAACCAAACTTTTGAACTTCTTTTTTTCGTTTTAAAATTGATGTTACAACTTATTAGTCATGTTTGGAACACCTAGTATTAATTAAATTAAAATGTTAGGCAATTCTATTGACCAAAATACTTACAGACGATTGGGAAGTCAGATGGAAGCATTCTAATATCATTTAAGGGAATACGACCTCTGTCACCATCATCAAACTCTACATATAACATATCTGGATCAGGCATAGGACTAGTTGCTAAAAGGGGATGAAAAAACAGATGAATATCAAAAATAACGTTTGAAAGATAAAACAATAGTACATTGGCAATAATACAATGCAAACCACCAAAAATAAAGAATTAGTTTACCTTTGGTTACAGTACCGGGATATAAACATCTATACTGCTGACTCCAGAAAGCACATATTCTAGACCCTTCTGGTAACTGCTGTTTATTAATGGGCTTTACTTCTAACACCTAGGCACATATAATATTACATTATCAAACAATATGCACATGGGGAGTTAAAGATAATTAGAATGAAAGAAATGTATATTTTTTATAGATATAGTCCAATTTTAAACTGAGTATGAAATTTTTTTTCAATTAATATCTTTAAAACATAGGTTTACTACTTTTTCTAGAATATAGTCATCATTTCATACTAAGCAATTTATTTATTCTAGTTGTATAACAATAATGTCTTTTAACAAAGAGATGTAAGGTAATGTACAGATGAATGCTGAACTTGTTAAAGAAAAGAACAATGTTAAAGAACAGAACAGTAAAATAAGCACTAAACATCCCAAGTTTTTTTTCCTACAGAAAATGTGGAATTGTACAAAAAATGTACTAATTGGTGATAAGAAATTGATGAATTCTGCTTAACTAAATTGTATATAATCAAATATCACTAATTTCTTCCAAAGAATGTAAAATTAAATTCGACTTTTAATTTAGTATTTTTCATTTTAATTTTTGATTTATTATCAATTTAATGAGTTAAAAATTCATAAACAAACTACGCAATAGCACAATCGCTATTTCCTAAACTGTCAATATGCTAAAAAATATTTTGTCAAGGCATTTGGATATAGTGAACCATTGTTTATACTGTATGGGTCTGTAGACAGTTCACGACAACACAGTTCAACTATACATTGAAAAGAGACTGGGATAAAAGCAAAGTTTTGAACTTAAGTTATTATATACTATAACAAAATGGAACTTACAGCAGCATTAAGAATTTCCTCTTTAGAGAACATATGAGGTCGTGCAGCTCTATCACCATCAATTAAAATTCCGTACCTAAAAACATTTTTTTTAAATTATAACACAAATGACAAAATAATGCATTTTTTAGAAATTTTCAAGATGTAGGATAATGATTATTAATCTATCGATACTAATAACATAATTTAGAACATTAATTATATTTTTCTTTTTAATTCTCAAAGTTTATAAAGTAATTACAGTCGGACCCCGATTTAACGAATTTCGCGATTTAACGAATTTTTTTTCAACCCCAGCAAAAACAGAGTCAAAAACCCCTAATTAACGAATAATTAACCTTGAATTAACAAATTATTTCAGCATCCGGAAAAAATATTTTTCATTAATTTTGATCAGAAAAATATTGTATTTTTTTGTAATTGGCAGATTCTAAAGGGAAAAAAATCTTTTCTGGGAGGAATAAAATAGAAAAAGTGCATATTCGTCTCAAATAAAAGAAAAGCCCGCAACAGGGAAAAACAAAATTCGTCATGGGTAGGTGGGTAGAGTCAATAAGACATATTACACTTGCAAGGTCATTTTCCGGGGGTTTGTCGTGTGGACTATGAGTCACACAGGAAATTCCTTTCTTATCTTAGATAGTCGTTTATAACTAGTAATTTTTAATAATACATATGCACAAAAAACAATTTTTTTTAACCCCAATTTTACGAATGACCCCGATTTAACGAATAAAATTTCCGGTCCCGATGAATTCGTTAAATCGGGGTCCGACTGTATTATCAACAGGGCTTCATACGTATGAATTTAATTAAATGATTAAGGAAAATAAAATTTAAAAAAAACTTAATTAAATGATTAAGGAAAACAAAATTTAAAAAAAACTTTTCTCCCATTAAAATTCAGTCAAAAAAATATTTTGACGGGAAATATTATATTTGCTAATAAAAACAAATGTTTTTGAAAATGAAGTATTACTAGTCAGCAATTATTTTCTAAAAATTTAGGTTTTTCTCAGATGAAAAATAAAATTTTTTTTCAATCCTTGTTTTAAAAAAAATGAGACATTTTTTTACCATGGAGATCAACTTACATATCAGAATCTTCACTCTTAGTAACATGTCCAGCATAAAAGAGACCTTCATCCAAGACAAGCAGACGGACATTTTCTTGCAGCTCTTCTGGCGTTAGAATGCAAGATTTAAGTTCAGGAAGTTGATTTTTAGGTGAGATTAAATCACTTAATGGAATGTCTTCACTTTGACCAGAACTGAAATCACTGTATTCACTGTCTGTTGATAATCTCTTTGGTCTTTCAGCTGTTGCAGCTAAAAGTTGACAAAGTATAACAAATATAACAATATATTTTAATAAATAATACAAAGTGACAGTCTTTATTCTCTGTACTTTGAAATGATATTATTAATATCATATAAATATAAAAAGCAAAACTCAATATTACCTTTTCCAGAAGATTGTTCAACAAATTTACTAAGAGGTACATTTTCGCTCATGCTTGATGCTCCATCACTGCAATCACTATCGGAAGAGGAATCCTCATCACTACTGCTAGTGGTGTCAACAAACTCACTTGATAAAGGTTTTTTGACCTATGAAAAATACATCATTAATATACATACATAAACTACATTCTCTTAACTAAAAGGAACCTAGTAGCAACTTCTAAAAATTCATTAACAAAAACTAGAAGTACAAAATTATAAACAAAATTCACGAAGCAATAAATCTATGGTGAATACGCACAAATCTTTTGAAAACTTTTCTGTCTTGTAACATTTGAAAAAAATTAGAACGAAATGAATCTGCGGTTATTTTAATAAAAGACTTTTAAAAAAACTAATAAATCTTTCAAAATCTTCTAAGCATAAAAGCAACTATCGCATTTAGCTTTAGTAATGTTTAATTTATCGAAATGTATTTGCCAAACTTAAGATTCTAACTGCTCAATTTCAAGAAAGTTAGTTGCTCTTATACAGCCCATTAAAACAGACAGCTTTAAAACAATTTTTATAAGAAATTACTGAGTCAATTTTTATAACAGAAAAACTAAAGAATTTATCGAAAATTGACTGCCATCATCAAAAATTCTACCACCAAAGATCTAAAATGATTTTATGTTGAAATTTGAACTATAACAGAGAAACAGTAAAAAAATTAAAAGTTTGTAAAGATCAGAGTGAAAAAGATTCAAGAAAAAGTTTTAACATCTTCTTACAGAAAATAAACTCATACTTACAGATCTGACAATAACTTTTGATTTCACTCTTTTACCATCATCATCATGAGATTTTGCAGTTTTTGAAGACTTTGTACCCTGCAAGAAAAAATAATAGTAATAAGAATAACTTAAAGTGTTCAAATGCATCAACTCTACAGTTATATATATATATATATATATATATATTCAATTTAATTTAGTTGTAGTCAGTTATTATGTACTAAAAAGATGGGCAAAATTTTAGGAAGTGATAGTACACACCCAAGCAAACAATTTTTATCAAAGAATGCATGGTCGAAAGCAAAACCTCTAGAGGGCGTTTAAGTTTATGTTCTTATATGAGGCAAAAACACCTAAAGAATGATGAAGTTAAGTTATAAAAGAAAATTTAATGGCAATAAGTGTTCAAAACAGTGGCCGGCAGCAGCTATGCACGCAGTACAACGGCGAAGAAAAGATAGACAAACATTCTGAAACAGACCAGGCATATCACGAGCTTTCCCTGCAGCGACCGAAAGCTTGGCGACCATGGAGCTAGGAGTAAGTCGCAACAGGAATGGAGCTTTCACCTTTGCATCAAACAACTTTCCAAATGCGCCAGCACCTTTGCGTTTTGTTTTCGACCATGCATTCTTTGAAAAAATTTTTTTGCTTGGGTGTATCACGTCCTAAAATTTTTCCCATATTTTTAGAATCACCCTGTATGTATATATATATATTCAATTGTAGTCTATTATGTTATTTTCATGTTGCTAACTAATTTAGTAAGTGATACTGTTACACAACTACTTGGTATATTAGTTTTTAATAGTTTAGTAAGCTTTTAATAATTAATCAATCTTCTAACCCATTATCTTATTAAACAATCAACACAATTTTACTGAAGTTTAAACAACTGAATAGTTCATAATAAAAATTAGAACCAACTTCGTAGCTGAAATGATGCTAAAACAAATCTTTTTTTTTTTTAAATATTCAGTGGAATGGAAAAAATTTACAAATGCTATTGGAAATACTGCCATGTTTAAATGTAATCTTTTGTAGTAATAAAATTTTCATAAATAATTACCTCTTTCTTTTCTTTTTGATTTTCAGTAGATAACCTATGAGAGGAATGTGTAATACTTTTTTTGCCACTTTTTTCGGTTGTAGGCTGATTGCTAGATTGTTGAGTTGCTGTTGATCGGGCGTCACTGAGAAATATACGCTCACTTCGGCGAACAAACCAAGCTTGTTCATCAAAAAATGGTGTTTTTGACTTGTCATTCTATGGAAATGAAAAAGAAATTTATACAATGGTTTAATGAATGTTTCTCTTAATATTGACACAAACAAAATATTTCAAAAATAGAAAATGTAGTATCTAGAGTTAAAAAATAATGGACGTTGAAAGGCAAGCAAATACATTGTGATCTAACCTTATCATAATCTTGATCCTGAGAAGTACTCTCATCCTTGCTAATGTTTCCTGAGCATTCAGAACTGTTTTCATCAGTATCTTTTTTGCCAATATTAGATCCACCTATGGAATTATAAATTTTATTTCATATAGCAGCATAATATAACCAAATATATCAAAATTATATATAATAGAAGTAAAATACATTTAAAGAACAAATACAATTTTTGACAATTTTAAAATATAATAGATCAAAAATCTTTTAACTGTTGAAAGTCAAGAACTCCCAATATTTGCATTGTAGTCATGTGAAAATGAGAATAGAATTTTCTTTGATAAAAGAAATTTAAATGTAAGTGGTGAAACAAGCATTAATTTGCAGTATTAAAAAGAAACAAAGTCACATTTTAGAAGCGACCTTAGATAAAATTTATGTAACTATTGTTGTTTGAATATTTAACTAGTTATAATTTTAGTTTTCAATTTTGTCACTGTTGTAACTCACTGGCGGTTCTGAACCATGTAGAGAGTTGTAATTTTTATTTGTATCTTCTCAAATGGTTGTGCACGCATGCGAAAAACCTCATTCCAATTTCTACCTACAAATGGTTCTATAGTAGGTATGAACAACCTGCGGCCCATGAGAGCTTCTAAACACATGGGGGGGGGGGGAATTGAAAAATACAAAATTTCGAATCGGACATTTGAGTAATCACTTTTCGATGCGCTCAATTTGTATAGTTTCAATTATAAGTTTAAGTTGTCTATCTATCATTTTTTCAACGGTTCTCGGTATAAAAGTTTGTATGATATTAATAATCCTAATATTTTAATACATTTCGATATGCAAATTTTGAATTTGAGTAATCACTTTCTGGCTTGCTTTATTTTTGCCTATTTTATCACAAATCCAAGGGATGATTTGAGAATTTTTTTTTTCATTTATAAACCCTATTTCCATGTGGTTTTAAAGATCCGGATGCATTTATTACGATTTGTAAATCGCACATTTAATTGATAATTTTTTAACAGGCTTTATTGGTGCCGATTTCATCGGAAATCTAAATTATTTTTTGGACTCAGGGTTAAAATACAACTTTTTACATGTGGAATCGTCTGTGGGTTAAATAAGATTATATTACATAAAAATAATAGTATTTTATATGAAATTGTAAAAGATCATCAAGTATGACAATTAATGATCATCATCGCCTGCATCTGATCTCAATTTTTAACAGTTGATAATGCTATTTTTGAATATTTTGAAAAATTAATAACCTCACAAAAATGACCTCTTCCCTAAAAATTGCAAGTACTAAACCTCAATCTTTTTCAAATGATAGACTTCATTTTTTTTCCTCTTATCTATAAATTTTGAAAAATGAAGGAAAAGAAACTCCTGTCATTGTAGTTACTTTTTTGGCATTCTTGAACACATATCAAAAAATTGACGAACCAAAAAAAGGTCTGGAATTCTATAAGAATTTCATGCTTGATAAATTGTAATGTTAAGCATAATAACAATAAATAGCTACGTAATTGAATAATTTAAGTATAAAAATATCACAACTAATTCCCAAAACTTTAAATTATATTTTAAAAGTTACGTTTTAAAAGTTTTAGTTTAATAACAGTTCACCCTTGGTAACATATTCAAACAATAATAGGTCTATAAAATAGTTATAAGATTTATAATTAATAAATGCAAATACAGAATGTTAGTTATTAATTTTTGATTATAGTTATTTTTAATGATTCTTAATGAATAAATTTAAATTATATTAGTATCATATTTTTAATACAATAGAAACATACTTGAATAGTCAGAATGTGAAGATCCATTTGATTCTCCAGATAATGATGAGAGTGAATCTTGATTTCCATTGCCGTTAGTTTCGCCATCTAAAATGAGTGATACAATCAAAATGAGAAATTCTACTCATAAAAACAAAAATTACAATCTTATAGTTATCTAAAGCAGTTTCAACACAAAAAATAATAATTCAGATGATTTATCTTTTTCATTTTCAAGTAAAAGCACGTAAAATACCCACTAGACATTAATAAATATTTAATAACAAAATATTTAAGAAATATTTTTAACCTTATTAAAAACCATTTTTCAAAAAAAAAAACTTTTAATATAAATTTATAATCTTAAATTTTGAGAATACTTTCATCAAATAAATTTTTTTAAAAGGAAATATATATGTTTTTGCAACAAATATCGCACATTATAGATGCAGATATTTCCAGAAGAGATATTTTCTAAGAAAAATAAATAATTTCTTCACTGATCGTTAAATAAAAATAAAAAGTACATTTAAAAATTATAACAATTTTTTCTGTTTCAGGAATAAAATAATTGTTTTTATCTTTAAATTATTTTCCCTTCAGAGACATCTGCAATTGCCATTGCACTTGATATTTTTTAGAAATTCTATGGAATTTTCCTCAAAACATTAAAGCAATAAAAATATGTGATTCGTGGTTTTGAACCAATAATTTAAAACTACAGATTTTTTTTAAAATTTAATTTTATAATAGTTTAAACTGATGAAAAGCAATTTGGATGATGCTAAAAAAATTTAAGATGAGAATTGCATAAAAATAAAGATATTTCTCAAAACTCTAAAAACAGACCAATGTATACATATTATTATTTAACTATCTTTCAGAAACTGCTGATTGCATAACTGTATTGAAAAATTTTTGTCAGAAAAAATTAAAAGAGTATCTAAAATACTACACTTTCTATCTCAAATTCTGATAGTGTATTTAATATGTATCGAAAGACACTGTTGAACATAGTAAAAATCCGACGTTTGTGAAAATTAAATAAAGAGGATTAAAAGCATATTTAGAATTTTCCCACCCCGTCTCTACCCCTAATTTTGACAATTGAGTTCAATTGAAAGGAGAAAACCTCTTAAAGTAAAGAATTAAAAAAAATTATCAATATGGTGTTTATAAAATTTTGACAACATATAACTCAAACAAAAATAACAGATTTCACAAATTGAATAAATTAATTTAAAAAAGATACGTACTTTCAATGCAATTTCCTTTCACTTGACCCTATAATAATAATAAATTGTATTAAATAAAATTAAAATAATAATAAATAAAGATAAAAGAAGAAAAAAAACATTTAATTTTACATACCATACTGTGCCTTGATTCTGATTTCATATCAATTTTCAACTTCTTTGAAAGTGATTTACTCAACACTGTAGTGTCAGCTGACCTTTTATTTTTTTGCCAAGACTTAGTCGTATTGTTCTTAGAACCATGGTTATTCTCACCACACACAGATGCCTGTTTTGCACTGAAGTTAGGTTTCTTACCATTCATACTTTCAGTTGGCATTTTCTCACAGTCAGAGGAATTAACAGAGTAATCTAATTCATCATCACTACTTCTGAAATAGAAAGAAGGTGCTTAAAAATTTAAATCTGAATATGTTCAAGTCATAAAATTATTTTAAACCATAAATGAATTTTTTATTGATTTAGCATTGTGATCGTAATAAACTAAAAAAAGGAAGAAAAAAAAAAAGCAGACTTTTGTACAATTTATAAATCTTATTAAATTACCAAATAATTTTTGAGATTTGTCCAGATTTGAAACATTCATAGATATGAAACAAAGATTGCAAGTTCTTTAAATTTTATACTTTATGTTTATGCTCTAAATAAATTTAGAAAGCGAAGGAAGAATCAACAAGAGATTGTTCAGTTGTCATATACTTTGTATTTAAGAGAAATAGTAAAAAACTTTTACATTCATTTTCCATCACCTAAGTTGACTTTCAACGATTTGATAAACTATACATTTACAAGCATACTCTTAAATAACATGTAGCATCATGTAGCTTTTAACAAAAATATATTCAATTATACATTCAATAATGCAATGTACAATATATATTGACTTATGTACTTACTCTTTTTCTTTTTTATTCCTCAATATTTCTAATTCCTTTTGCTTCTGTCTATATTTCTTTTGCAATTCCGCAAGTCGCACTCTCATATCCATTTCAGTTGCTTCACTATGATCAGGTGATGAAGAACAAGAAGAAAATGGTGATGCATAAGAATTATTTTGGTCTTTGGTGAATGAATCTTCCATTTTACACTCTTTTTCTTCTTTAAATGCATAACAGTCCACTGTTTCTCTTACAGACCCACTGGATTTATTCTCGTCAAGATTTAACGCTTCCTCGAAAAACCTCTGCTCAGCCAGAGCACATAACAGACCCAATCCATCAGTACAAGTTGTATCAATCGTCTTGAAGTTGGATGAATAAGATTTTTCAGGAAGAATTGAATTCATTTCTTTTTTGGGAGCAACAGGAAGTATGCACTCAGAATGCTCAAGCACATTATTAGAGGAAGATATTCCATCTTTATGTGCATTTTGCTCTGCATCAGCATCGTTTTGACTTTGCTCCCTAGAAGCAAACTCTTCAATACTATCCACCAACAGATTGAGTCCGTGATGATCAATGAAATCCATAACAGGTTTACTTTCAACAGGAAGAGAAGGAGCTAGTTCAGTTTCTGATGTGACAATTTCCAGACTTGGGTCAATGTCATCCTTGACGTCAGCGTTTTTTGTTTCAAGAGATTCTTCAGTGGTGTCATGCACTGGAGTGATCCTCATGGCTTCAGATGGTTCACTTTTTGGAGAGTTAAGAGAAAGACTTGATTCCTGCTCAGCTTGTTCCATGGAAACATCTTCCAGTTCAGTAACTGATTTTGGACTTCCTGAGGGCACTGATTCAGTCTGATTAGCTGAATCAGACATTTCAACTCTTGTTTCCACTAGTTTCTCTAACTCAACCTTCTTTTCCTCATCTTCTTCTTCTTCTGAGTTTGTCTGACAATCCATGTCAACCTGAATTGCAGTTGTCACAGACTGGCTTTGGCAGGATGTTTGCAGTTCTGTTGATTCACAGCAAGCAACGCTATCACACTCATTATCACTTTCTTCATCTTCAGTGACTGAGGCCTGGACTGCACAGGTGTTAGGTGGAGGAGAAGGAGTTGCACAATGGAGTGGCGAAGTCCCTTGGGATCGACGTCCTGATTCAGTTTGAATCGAAGCAGCTGTTTGAGTATGGGCAAGATGCATCACAGTTGAAGATTGTAAAACATATGAGAAGCTAGAAGGATCACATTGAGTAGGAAAAGTGGCGAAAGCGTACGTCTGCCCAGTTGCCAGAGGTACACTTGGCACTTGCCCACTAATTTCTTCAACTTTGTCTTCTGTTTTTGTTTGTGTATTTACAGAAATATCGCAAGAGGTAATATTGCAACTGCTGTCAATTGCTTCACTAGTTTTCAGAGTTTCAGTCTGTAAAAAAATAGTAATAATAAAAATAAATGAAATTTATTTGGCTTAAAGCACAAGTTGCAAGTCAGCAATCTTTAACCCTATGAGTATCCGACTTAAAGCATTTTCATTGCGTAACAGATGTTTTTAGAAATGTGACAATTTTCAAGTTTTCAATCAATATGAACATAGAGTAAATATTTCTACCAATTTGTTTAAGTTATTTCATGCTCAGAGGGTTAAGAAGGAAAACTTATTTCATAAATTTACATAAAATTTATGAGGTAAATAAGACCTAGGAAATTAAAAATGACAATACATACATGGGGTAGCATCTGCTCAAACTGTGTATGTTGTTGTTGGGTTACAAGTTGCTGTATAGGAAGATTTCCGGCAGCAGTGTTAAATGTAGGCCAAACAGAAGGTCGATCCATCAACTCTGAAATAAAATAAAAGGGAAACTTTAAAAGATATATCTAGAAAAAGCGTAGCAATAATTCTAAACAACATTAAAATACATAAAATATAGAGAAATCTATTAACTTTATGTATTAATAATAATTACAAGTACCAATATTTGCAGTAGGTATTAGCAGCAAGTGACCAGTGATTGAATCACGAGCAAGTTGATAACCACCTGGTGGCAAAGAAATCGGTGAAGATTCAAGAGAGTTCATTGCAACACTTGGTACAGTATTAGAAGGTGGCGCTGCAGTATAAGCTCCTTGTCCAAGCCAAACAGCTGGTGCAACAATAGATCCATGGGCGACCCATGGAGAAGGTAATGCTGCTCGTGTTAAAGCTTCAGATTCCCATTGCCTTGAAACAATTGTTGGTCCTGAAACATAAGTGTAACAATTATTGGTAACAGAAAAAAGGAAACAATTGGCTGTTTAATTAAGTTATTAATAAGAATTTCTATCAACTTCTATTTATCTTCAGTCAACTTAAAATTTTTTAGTACTATATTATTTTCAAAATCAATAAACATATTCATAAATAAAAATAATAAATTTCTATTAATAAATTGAACGATATTTTTTAATAAGACGAAAATGAAAATTATTGTAAACCATATTTTACAATCAATAAATTCTTATCATGAGTACAATTCAAACAATTAATAAAGTAATCAAGATTAAATAACTGGTCAAATATAAACTAGTTTAAATATCTTAATAAACTAGTTAAACAGACAATTTAACTAGATAATTTTTTTTATGGTCCATCAATAAAAATATGTTTTTGCTGGCATGAAAATTTCTTTCGTTTTTTTTTTTTTTTTTTTTTTTTTTTTTTTTTTTTTTTTTTTTTTTTTNTTTTTTTTTTTTTTTTTTTTTTTTGCAACCAATGAACCATGTAAGCCTCCAACATTTAGCTTCAAAGATATATTGGCACAGGTATCTCACAACACAGAAAATAATCGATTTGTTAACAGATAATTTCAAACATTTAGCTCTCACTTTAGATCACTTCAAGATATACTTCCTTCTGAAACCATAAGCATAGCGTTAGGGGGGCACACTTTCTGTTTTTAGGAAACTGTTCTATTATTTTTAAGTTTTATATAAGCATTTTTATACAAATATACATGCATACAAAAATAAATATGCATATATACATAGAACTTAAAATAAAGTTTTCTAAAAACAAAAATTTTTGCCCTCTCCCTTATGCTAGGTCCATGTTTTAATCTACCATATTTTTTGGTATTAATGAATATGCTAAAGCAGAACTATTATGAAGTTTTGCTATAGTCTTTACTACCATTTTTTAAATTTTTTTAAGGCCATATGATAGAGCTTATAGTTCGTGACCACTAACAAAAAAAAAGCTGTGCATTTCTGCCACTGATACTTAAAATGTTTACCTATTTTTTTCAATGGTAAAGGCAATTAATTCAGATAAATGTTCAAAATGTTAGTGACATTATACATTAAACTCAATAACAAAAAATGAAATTATGAAATAAGGTAGAACTCAAAATTATTTAAATTATCAAAGTACTTGATGGAGAAACACTATTAAATATTAGCAGAGATTTCATTAAAAAACATCATTGCACAAAATCATTTAATACGTTAATTAAAATTTATTTTAATGGGTAAAAATGAAATGCGTAAAATGAGTGTAAAAATAAAATGCAACTAAACAGAAAAGAAAAAGTGTTATTAGTAGAAAAAAAAATTTCTACCTTGAGTGACTAGTACATTGGTATCCATTGGTGTAGGATTATTGGAGCATGATAATTCTTGGCTTTTCTGATCCCTAAAGCAAAATTAAAAAAATTTAAAAATGGTAATTGTTAAGAAACACACTTTAAAAAAATACTTTCTTACAAGAACTTCAAAATATTTTTTTTACTGACAGTATACTTAAAATTTTAAATCATCAATATATATGGAATCCAGCATTTTTAAAGATGACTGAAAACAACCTGCAGAGTTTGGAAAGATTAATATTTCATACATTGCTTAGACATTCTATATAATAACTCGCCAAAAAAAAACATGTCATATTTTATACTTTGCCTAAAGTGCACAATGCATTCTATACAAAAAAAAAAAAAAAAAAAAAAANAAAAAAAAAAAAAAAAAAATTATATAAATTTTCACACTGCTTAGGCACTCTTGAAGAATGCTGGCACTTTACTCATTGATGGTGAATATACTGCCGGGTGCAGAATGGAATTCGAACCCGATTCATCTCATTAGGAGACGAGCGCTCTATCCCCAAAGCCACCCTGGCACTGTCTAATTTTATTTTATTTATAACAGTCGTTAAACAGCTGACTCAATTTTGAATTTATGACTACTAATGTTTAACTCCATAGCCTTGTCATTTTGAACTCAATCCAGAAGACAAGGAAACTCCTGAATCAAATATTGGGAGAAATTCGCCTTTATGGAGGACTTTTTGATGGAACTAACCCGCATTTGCGTTAGATGGAGAGGAAAACCTCGAAAATCTCCTACGGTTAGCCTGATGGCAAGGAGACTCTAACCCATGTTTTATTTTACCCCACCCTACCACTAAGTATATTTTATGCCAGCATTGTGGTCAGTGTAAGCCAGGTGCAGAATTCGAATTGATCGGCCATAGCTAGGATTCAAACCCGGTCCACCACATTGGAAGGCGAACGCTCTACCCCCTGAGCCAATATGGCTCCTATCTGGTAAATTAGAAAATACAGGGGTCTTTTTCAATTAGACTGGCTCTTAGCAAATTGGTGGTTATGGCTTGCAAAGAGTCAGGTAACTCTTGGCAACATACATTTAAAGAAGAGAAGAAAAAAAAGTATAAACAATTTCATTGAAATTTAATTTCATCATACCCTAAAATCTCTTGGGCTTGTATATCTGCTGCAACTCTGTTATTCACCAGCTGTGAGTTTTGTGCCACAACATTTGGTGTGTTAGCAGGGATAGATGATTGAGGCTTACCTGTAATGTGCCATACAAAAAATAAATAACAATATTACACAAATCAAACATAAGCATAGTTAATATTTGCTAAAAAAAAAGGGTTGATTATTTATTTCTTTAGTTTCGATATCATATGCACGGGTCAAATAAATCAGTACTATAACAAAAAGATGGTTTTGCATAGTTGATCTTTAAAGAAATCATAACTATATGAAGTACCCTTAATATAGATTCAAACTTCTGAATTTGTACTTGGACATAGCAGAGAAATGTTGATTGAAACATCAAATTGAGTAGACAAGCAATTGAAGCTGAATATGAAAAACTTGTGCAAGAGATAATTACGAGGATAACAAGCTTATATATTGTTTTCGTTTCGAGTTGAACAGCTTGTAAAATCATAAATAATCACATATAACAACTTATTCGCTATCTTTCTGAAAATAAAATGTAAGTACCTTGATTCATAATTCAAATCACATGAAAAACTGATATTGACAGCAGGCATAAAAAGGAAATGAGAACGTTTTTCATGTTATATTAAAGAATCTTGTTTCTCATCATACAACTTGTATGATTTGCTGATTGAAAGATGTAATCATAGTGAAGAGAAGATAGTTGCTGCCTTTTAATATACTATGCTATTCTATAACAATAGGATGAAGATTAGAGAGGTTCCCATGCATGGTTTAGTGACTGAAGCATAATTTATTGGAAAAAAAGGCAGATTAAAATTACTTTGTAATCAAGAAGTTGATTAAAGCTAAGTCTTCACTATAGCTAAGAATATCAGGAAAGGTAATAAGTCTGAAAGTAGCTATCATATAGTTATTATACGACAGAAAAAAAAAGAAATTAACAAAGATTAAAGGTTTCATTACAAGCATTTTAAAAATAAACCATTCTTAGAAATCTTGTTTCAATTAATATTCATGTTTAAGGGTGTTCTTTAAAGCTCTTTCGTCATGGAAAAGAATTGTTTAATAACCTAAATATTTATGAAATTATTCTACTTTAAAAAATGCCTAGTTGGCAAGATTTTTTACCTAGATAATGAATAATTCGAACACCAACGAATGAAGTTTTGCATAGTTTTATAAGCACAAACAATATGCAGTTGGAGTAACTGTTCGAATATTAATAAAAAATTTGAATAAAAAGAAGCACTTTATCATTTCACAAAATTCTGGCTTTCATTTATGATGCCATTTTCTATTATTTTCAGATTTGAAATAGAGAGCACTGACGAAAAATGGATAGAACGTAATGTTACATTTATGAATAACTGTTACAAAATCACAACAGTTATAAAAATAGCATATTGCTTGTTAGAAAGCATATTTTAGATAAGAGCCTTCAAAGAACAGCCTTAATTTAAATTGATAATAATTTAATCATTCAAATTTAAAAAATTTGAATAATTAATGTGAGGCACATTTGATGGCAATCTTTTATCAGAAATTATGTAAGTTTCTGTAAAAATTTAAGAAAAGGAAAGAAATTTAATAAAATATAAGAAAATATTACCAACAAGTTGGTATAAAAATGTTGCATTAAAATTCACAGCTACTATAATTTTTTCTCCATATTGCACCCACAGAACAACGTTAACACATTTCAAAATATTTTAATTCTTAGTCGAATACAAAATTAACACCAGAAAAGTGCTAAATGTAATATTTGTCACTAGATGTGCGAATGCATTATTAATAATTGGATGGTAAAAGACTATATCGCATGATCAGATTTTGTACATTAAATAATTTAATTAAAAAATTAAATAAAAAATTAAATAAAAAAATTAAATTAAAAATTTTAAGAATAAAACGAAGAGGAATTAAGTTGTGTTAATTCTGTGAAAGCAATATAGTGAATAAAATATTTCTGGAGCAATAAAAGTTAATAAACATTCAGACAATAATTACCTATATGGATATTGATAAAAAGTAATAATTAATACAAAATTATTGGGATCTTCAAAAGTTAGATAACTGATAAAAAAAACACTTCTTCAAGTAGAAATATCTGTATAGTAAATTTAACCCTTGAACACAATTTTTATATTTTTTTTTCTACTAAAGAAATCAAGTTTTACTTTCCTTACATTAAATTTGTTCACTTGGATTTATAAATATCAAGATCAAATATTATATCCATTTTTAAGACACTTTGTCTTGTCTTGTAAAAGAATACCAGCTATGAAATAAAAGCAGAATACATAAAACAATCTTGCCAATATTGCTATCATAAAATGAAAAGCTTTGTGTTCCAGAGTTAAATTAAAATTTCAATTCTTGATTTAAAGCTAAAATGTTAATCTTAATGCTAAAAATTTAAAGTATAAGCTTATATTAAAATTCAGTTTAGTTTTAAAATGTCACTTCTATTTATGCTACGAGTAATAATATTAAAATATAATAAATGTTAAAAACTATTAATTAGACTAACCACCTTTTCTCTAGTTTTCATTGTTGTTCAAGCTTATATTAAAATTTAGTTTAGTTTCAAAATGTCATTTCTATTTATACTACGAGTAATAATATTAAAATGTAATAAATATTAAAAACTATTAATTAGACTAACCACATTTTCTCTATTTTTCATTGATGTTCAAGCTTATATTAAAATTTAGTTTAGTTTTCAAAGGTCATTTCTATTTATGCTAAGAGTAATAATATTAAAATGTAATAAATATTAAAAACTATTAATTAGGCTAATCACCTTTTCTCTAGTTTTCATTGTTGTTTTCAACTATCTTATAAATATCTCAATAAAATATAACGTCAAAAGAACATTATATAATAGAAGTTTTATAAGACAAAATGTATGAAATATAAAATGGTGAACACAAATTTTTGAAAATAATCAAAAATTTAATGTATTGAACAACAAGAACTGAATATTTTATAGGTTATAGTAGAAGTTGTATACAGGGTAAAGCTTGCATTATTTATAGGGATAAGATACAATTTAGTATTAATAAGGATTACTAAGTTTGTCACTTATGAATTATTTAAAAGTTAATTAATGGGTGTTATTTAATGTATGGGAAGTATTTAATGGGTAACGCTAATTATATGCATGCGTAGTGTCAGGCAAAGACATAGTAACTGTCTGGAAAATTACTTGTACTGGATAAATTAAATAGATTTTCTTTAAATATTAATAACTGCAGATTAATTTTGGCTTATTTTATTAAATGCTAAGCAATTGTTCACTTTTGATGAAAAGAATTAGCCGATAAACAGGGAGCTAGTGATCATTTTAACAAATGATTCCAGATATTTTTTTAAACATTATCAATACCAACACAGATAGTTTTAAGCATTTTAAAAACAGTAATACCGAAACTGTTTCGTTATTTAATAATTTTGAAGCATGAAAAATATACTTAACTTTTCAGAGATATTAAAAAAAAAAAAAGCCTGATATAACTTCAAATAAATAACAGGCTGTAAAACCAAAATAAACCACAAACCTTTTATGCCGATGAAAATGTATAATTTTGAAACAAGATTTTGAACGTTATAATCTTAATGACCGAACCACCCCGAAGAATTTAGAAACCATGTTAAAAACGTATTATAAGAGGAGTGCACAGCTCCCGAGTCAGGTATCACGTATAGTTTTGAATTTAGGTTAGACGGAGGTATTCTAGGCTGAATACCATTGAATCCAAATCCCTGTAGTTTTACTGAAAAAGAAAGGAAAAAGTAAGAGCTAAAAATTGTTATTGTCCAAGTACAGATTAAAGAGTTCAATGAATATTAAAAAGATACATGCATCACCAAGTACAAAATGTCCGATTACGTTAAGAATCTGCTATACAACTTATGATTTAAAACTCAAGATCAATAAAAAAAGGTATTAACAGTGATATGAAAAGTGCTTTAAGATAAAATAAATATTTAAGGGGGTCAAATTAAAATACATTTTGCTAAATATACTAAACTCTAAAAAGAACATTATTGTTAGCAATTTTAGAAAATGCGAGATATTCTAATTTGAAAGAAAATTTTTGAAAAAATGGGGTATCTTAAAATTGCAGCTATAACATCACACAAAATTGAAGAATAAAAGTATTATGCTCGCATGAGCAAAATTTATGAAAACTTATCACAAGTAGCACAAAAAATTATCTTTTACTATTTGATTTGAAGAATTTTTAAATTAAAATATTAAATAGCTTCTTCACAAACAATTTTTATTTTTTTATTATTTTTATTAAAAATATAAATCATAAGATAGTAAAAAGTTAATCAATGTTATGCAAATGCTTCATTCTTATTTTAGATCCAAAGTCTGAATTTATAAAAAGAGTTAAGAAAAAAAGGTTCTAAGTGCCTTTTTTTTTTAATAAAAAAGAAAAAAAAGCAAATTAGGTTTATAGTGAAAAGATCTTAAATTTTATTTAACTTGACAACCTTGATTTATTTTGCGAAGTCCTTAAATTTCCCACAACTCACTGGATGAAAATATTATGTGATAATCCTTTCATGTTTTTCAAGTGGCCGCAACAGTGGGAACGCTATGATGCAAATAGTTTAAATTAATGTTAGGGTTTCTGAATTCACCAATTGGAAGCTTGCAGGAAAAAAAAGAGAAGGCAAACTCTTTACTTTTTACTGTTATCTTCTGGCTGTAAGCGAATAAACTTTGAAAACTAATTTACTAATAAATTATTTAGAACCTTTATTCCCAAAACTCTGCATGTGTATTACTGACATATAGGTCTAGCCAATAAAATTTTATTTCATTCACAAGTCTGATTTCCCTCAAAACTTTGATTATTATTTAAAAATTATTAACTAATTAATTTAGTTTTATTATTACATACTACATTTTCTTTGCTAATGACTAAGGACCCCCCCCCCCTAAAAAAAAGAGTCCATTTTATTAAGTGCTAAGCAATTGTTCAGTTTTGATGAAAAGAATTAGCCGATAAACAGGGAGCTAGTGAACATTTTAACAAATGATTCCAGATATTTTTTTTAAACATTATCAATACCAACACAGATAGTTTTGAGCATTTTAAAAACAGTAATACCAAAACTGTTTTGTTATTTAATAATTTTGAAGCATGAAAAATATATTTTTAAACCTTTAAATAAAATATACATAATGTGCGTGAAACAAGGCAATGCTTCAGATATTAAAAATTAATAGATTATAAAAGCTGCTTGATTAAATGAGGCAATCAACTCCATTAATAAATTCAAAAATTTATACTTAACAGTTCATACAAAATTACTTTATCTCTACAAAATCACACCATGTTAATACTTTATTTTCACCAATCAAGCTTTTAAATCTCAAAAGTTATTTAGCAAATTCATAACGTTTGTCAGTCATCCTGCATGTTTCATTATGAATATGTTTTATTTGCTTTACCAGCAAAGATGGGTAGAGATGGCATTATAACATTTTCTTCTTCTTCTTTTTTTTTTTTTTTTTTGAAGTATTTTTATCTACAGATAAAAGGGGGGGAAAAGCTCTTCTCTTATATTTTGCTATTGGCAGGCTAATTAAATTGCTTTTTAAGACAGTTTTTGATAAGTTTATATCTGCTTTTCTTCTGAGGAATAGATATCCACTTTTTGTGATGAAACTTATTACAATTACATTGTAACAATATTTTTTTGCACGAATGTCTGAATACATTATAATGTGTGAGAAACAATTATAAAAAACAAGAAAGAAAAAAAAAATGTGTGGCTGTTGCACGACAAATATGCAAATTTGTAAGGAATTATGAAGAAAAAGAAAAAAACATGTGGCTGTTGCGTGATAAATATGCATATTTGTAAGGGATTATGAAGGGGGAAAAAACATGTGGCTATTGCGCGATAAATATGCAAATTTGTAAGGAATTATGCACAAACAAAGATGTAATAGTGTTCAACAACACTGTAAAGACAGTTTTCGGCTTTTTCACTATCTCATGCCAAAAAACAAATAAAAGGAGAGAAATCGGAGAAAAAATTGAAGGATAAAAATAAGCAAGGATAAGGAGATGATAAAACAGGAAATGGTAAATTGAAGTAACAAAATGGAAAAGTCTATTTGAATGTAATATTCCACTAAATACGACAATTTATTAAATAAATGAATACTAAGTATGAAAATAGGTAACAATAAAGGAGATGATTTTTTTAAGGGAAAAACTGAAAAAGGACCACGAAGCTAACATGAAATGCATCCAGATTTCTACTAACTCCTAGAAAAGAAACTGTTATACATAAACTTAAATGATAAAATTGCACACATAAAATATCGTTATTAATTTAAATAATATTCAAAAAATTTAGCCAAACATTAAATAATCTAGTTTTAAATTACCCTTTGTGATTGGCATTAATAAAGAAAACTTATTTATGATTTTTTATACATATTTCAATATCTATATTCACAGATATTTCATATTATTTTTAACAACCATATTTCAATGTAGAATATATTTTATTTATAATTTTAAATACATATATTTCAAGATTAATTAAAAAAAATATTTTAATTTTAAATGTATCTAGGGCTAAATATTTTGTGCATTTCTTATATTTTTTCTAGATAAAATGCCCAAATCCCAAAGGGTTCGTAATATTAAAAAATTAACTACGAAATAAGAAACGAATGGTTACTCAAGTTATTTAATTGTAATACTAGCAAAAGTTACATTTAAATTTAATCTAAATGTTTATATACTAACATATCTGAAAAAATGCATACACTAAAGTAACTATTAACCTTATATTAAGTAAAAATAAAAATCTATTACTTATACTCATAGAACAATAATAAAATTCTATACAGCCTTACAATGCAATCTTAATTAATATGTATTTTCTACTTTACATATTAATCATACAAATGTAACAAAAATGATCTTAAGATTATGTGCTACTTTTTTAAAACTAATAATAAATCATGAATATACAATTTAAAAAAAATTAAAATAAAAAACTGTACCCATAGTAGCAGAAGCAGATGAATCTTGTCTTTGCTGAGCAATCGCTATTCCAACAGGAATACATGGATTTACTACATAAAAAAGGGAATTAAAAAAGTTTGTAAAAGAAAACTATTGCATGGAAATATATGTTTTATCATATTAAACATTTTTTTGATCTAGTAGAAGTAAAAAAGGTGAAAAACATACTACATTGATTAAACAATTCTTCTGTTACAAATAAGAATATCAACAAAATTACTACTCATTAAAATATAAATTTACGAAAAATGAGAAGAAGCCATTTTTTCAGCAAACAATCTTTTAAATGTTTGCCATTTTGGAAATACTTTAAACACTGCAAATTTTATACTTTTGTGTATGCCTCAATAGTTTTTAGAATTCTAGCCAAAGCTATTATGGAATTTTTTTTCGCTCTAAGTTTTCTCTAACAAATCTGCCTAAAAAAAGTCATTGTTGCACGTGAATGAGAACTTAGATAAAAAAAGAAAGAAAAAAAAGTGATAAGGGAGGAATAAATGCCTCGTTCACGAAGATTTTGCAAAACAAAAAATAAATTTTAGATTAGCTGAGCTCTGGAGAAAATTTGGTTGTAATATAAATTATTGATTCCCGGAATTCAGCGAATTAGCAGAAGAATCACATTCCTGCTTATGTTAAAAAGACTTCTTTAATTTTACAACTGAAAAATTCACGAAAGTATATGTGGAATTAAATTTTTTTTTCGTCACAAGATTCAAATATTATTATATGCTGCCATATACTTGATTGACAAAATTGATGCAACTTTCTTTACATGGATCGGTAAGAACATAAATGCTGTTCCTGCAATCAGTAGATGTTTCTAATGTTTTGCATTAAAGGTAAATATTTTGATTTGATGTTTACAAATATAATACTCAGGGGAAAGGCATTAATATTTTTCAATAATTTTGAACAAGATCTCAAGACACAGAAAATAAGATGACCTAGGCCATTATATAAGTCCAGAGGATTCAATTAACATTCATATTATGATATACAAATTTTAAATAATATGATCAATTCCATTTTTTTTTTTTTTTTTTTTTTTTTTTTTTTTTTTTTTTTTTNTTTTTTTTTTTGTCAATAAAACCATTTTAAATAGTTTTTTGTTCAACTGTTTTTTCTATTGTATTAAAACTATTGATTAAATTTTTCTGAATTTAGAATTAAATTTTTCTGAATTTAGAATAAATTTTTTTCAACTTAGCTCAAAATCTCAGTGGTGCTACACTAAAGCACTGTGTGATTTCTGCTAATTTCTTTTATTTCCTTATTGTTGTTGTTGTTTTCGATTTATCTTTTATAAGTAATGAACTAAATTTTCAAAATAATTAACATAAAATGAATGAAATAACAAACACTTAACAGCAGAGAGGAATGATGTTAAGATTAAGTTTCTAAAACAAGGTAACATGAATACCTGTAGCAGGGAAAACTATTGATGTTGAAGACACTGATGAGGATGCTGACAGAGTATGAGATGTCTGAACATCCTTTCCAAAGCCAACAGTTTTTGACAACTTGGGAGCAAGTGTAGCTAATGTTGCTCTACCACCATGACCCAGCTTATCAACATCACTTAATTTTCCCCTTTTGCTCGTTAGTCGCTCAGCTTTTAAAGATCTATGAATGCTTGCATTTGCTGTAACATGAGATATAGTACTTTTCAATGGTACCGGAGGAGTTGCATTTCTGTTAACAATTGGAAAAGAGCTTTTCGAAGATCTATGCAAAATGTGCACTTCGGTTGCCTGTTCAGATGGTTGATTAACAACTGATATGGAAGAGAAATTGCTAATAGAACTTACAGCTGGAGTACCTTTCACTTTATTAATTGCCATAGGATTTGGATTAGGGTGGCATACACCAATTATGCCACTGGTTGTGATTGCACTTTCAGTAGAAGCTTTAAGAGGAGAATGGCTTAAATCCTGACTCAGTGATACAGAGGCATCACCAGGTTCAGGTTTCACAGGTTTTTTGCATACAGTTAAATTGATTGCTTGATCATCATGAGTATTACTGTTGTTCTGCCAATTAAAAGGCATTACAGTAGCTTTAGACCAACTAGCAGACTTTTGAGAAAATTCACAATCTAACCGTGTACTCAGTACCTCAGTTTTCATAATGGGTGTGCTTTCTTTCATTGGATTGGCTTTGCCATTATTTTCAGATGTCAAATAGTTAGTTCTATTAGATTTGCATGGACTTTTCATCGAGCAATTCAGTTCTGAGGCAACAGTCAAAGGAGAGGTATGACAAGAAGAATTTGGCAATACTTTGTTTAGTTTATTGTCAATAAACTTTTGTGGGCTCGGATCTATCAACTTCTCTCCAAGTAATGGTTTAGTTGGACATATATTTAGAGTGGTTTCTTTTACATTACAGACAGGGGATATTCTATTAACAGTTTTATCAGACAGATCATTATTCATCACAGAATTTGGCAATGGTTGTGATTGCACAGTTGTAGTAATTTCCGATTGAGATGGAAATCCCTCTAATTTGACATCTGGTGTACTTGAACAAACTTCTGCAGTTTTATTAACAATAGTCTCACCATATGCAGGTTTTGTATTTGAATTGTCCTGGATAGGGATCAAGCGATTCGTATCCAAATGTAAAGGTTTGCAAAGATTTTGTTTTGGTGCTGTTGGAATTACAGCGGCTGCTACATATTTTACAGGTGTAACAGGATTTGGTGCAGTTTTCATTATAGATTCTGAGATATCTTTTGAATGGGATGACTGGTCAGATGTTTTCAAGTTGGAATTAGCATTTATCACAGACGATGAAGAATCTGTACAACAGAAATCAAATATAGTTTTAAAATTGATGCATAGTCTGAAGTATTCACAAACTATTTTAAAACAAACATTTTCAAACTAATACATTCACTAAATATAATTTAATGGTTATTTGGCAATAGTTGGTTTTTAAATTAAATAACTAAGTATAATAAAAGACATTTCTCATTTTGCTGTTTTGTAATTCCAATATCTACATAACTTGGTAGTAAGGTTGGCAGTGCAATTCACTTGATTTAAATCATAATTCATTACGGATTTTTGCATTAAAAAAATCCCTGCGTCAGGTCAAAAAACAAACAAAAAATCGTTATGTAGGATAATTTTTGAATTTATTCTTTAAGATTGTGATTTTTTAAAGTCTGATCTCAAAGACATTGAGGATTTTATTCAGAGATATAATGAGAGAGTATTGTATATAAACTGCTGTTTGTAGAAAATGCAACACCATGAAAGAATCATCAGAATCAAATGAAATTTAATGCAGAAACGACTTGTACTGATACAAATAAATGATGAAATTTTCAAAACAAAAGAAACAAATTAAGCGTCCGAAATCAGTATTTGGTGCAGCCACCACGCGCTGCAATAAGTGCTGCTATACGACGTGGCATGGAGTCAAACAGATGTTGAATATCTGCTTGAGGAAGAGAATTCCATATCGCTTGTATGCGCAACCAAAGTTCGTCTTTGGAAACTGCAGGACGCGGATCACGAGTGAGACGCCGACCAACCATATCCCACACGTGCTCAATAGGCGACATATCCGGCGAATAAGCAGGCCAAGGAAGAAGTTGCATGCGTTGTGCTGAACAGAAGTCTCTAACAGTCCGCGCAACATGTGGGCG